AAATAATTCCATTTTCTGATATTGTTTATCAATTATTTAAAGCCATATTTACATATATAAACAACGTTCACTTAAGAATAACAATCAAATTAAAAAATGAATTTAATTGTTTTTAAAACTTAACAATATTTAGTAATAAACATTAAATGTTACTTATATCAAAATTAGTTATATGAGGTATTATATAATTTCAATAAAACTTCATTTTTGTATTTAGAAATTGTGCTAAAGTAATTTATCTGTAAACTACAAAATTTTAAACAAATTTTAGAATTAAAATTGTTTTGATGTTCTGTAGCATATATTGTCAGCAATTATTTTAAATTTAAAGTGTTTATTTTAGATTTTTTGCATTTTGAACCGATTTAGCTAGTTTTAATTTTTTAAAATTACGTCCTAACAATTCTATTTTTTCAGCTATCTAGTGCATGAAAATAATAAAATTTGCTCAACTACAAAACTAAAATTTTAACAATATTCTTAAGAGATTTAAATTTTATCTTTGGGTGTCTTTAAAACCGTCTTTATTATTGAATACTCTTATATTCTATAATGAAATTTGTTAGTGTAAGTAATAGACTGATAATTAAGCTAGTAAAAATTGTGTAGTTTGAATTTTTAATAATTTGATAGAATAATAAAAAAATAAGGTTAAACTTCGATTTTCTAATACGAAAAAACCATTTTAACTTTGCCAATATATAACATATATAATCAAAATAATTTAATATACCTTCAACAGTGATAGCCAACTGGGTAATGCATACCAGTGCTACCAATAGTAATAAAGTGGCTAGTTGAATTTTATTCATTGTTGTATAATAAAAAAAAATTAACAATTAACAATTATTAATAGTTTTTTAAAAGTTATTTTTCCAAATGGTTAATAATTAACTAAAAAATTTACAATTTATATACCTTTTTTAATTATCAATAAAATCAAAAATAAATATTTGTGAACAAATAAACAAATAAATAGTAATAATTATTAATCTGTTTTCTTGTTAATTGCAATTAATTGTTAAATTGATTTATTTTATCAAGATAATTTATTAATAATTCCATATAAAATATGCAATATTATTTAATTTATTTTTTGATACTAAAAATATTGTTAGAAATATTTAATCCTGTTCCATTTTGTTTGTTTTGTTTAATTCAACAATTTTGACTAATTTATAATTATATTATAAAACTTTATCAATTAATTAAACGTTATTTACTTTTATTTCTTTGAGCAAATAAAAATTTAACAATATTACAATATATTAGATTTATTTTATTTTTTTGAAATAAATTTACTATAACAGTAATTTTTATAAATATTTATTAAAAAATATACAATTATTAGGTTAAATGATTCAATTTATATAAATAAGTTACTTCATGTTCAATATAAATAATATTTATTTTATTAATAGTTAAAAATATTTATTTAAAATTAAATTACACAATTTATAAATTTTGATTTATCACTTTATTTTTATTAATCAATGATAAAATATTAATTCAAAATAACATTTAGTTTGAATTAATTAAATAATATTTTAAAACATAAGTTATATACTAATAATGATAATAAAATTGTAATTATAAAAAGAAAAAAATATATCATAAAAATGATGTTATTAAAAATTTTAAAAATAATTTCAGTTTAAATAATTTAGAGATAAACAGCAATTGGGAGCACTAGTATGTAATAGTTAAAGCACCTGTAGCACAATTTCAACCATCACTTACACCAACCAAAAACAGTTAGTTATTTAAGTGCAATAACCGGATGAGTCGCCAATCTGTTGGAGACAGAAACCACTGCAACAGTTACCCCACGAACCGTCCGATTTACAGGCAGACCCACCAGTCAGACAACCTATTAAATTAATTGAGAGATTTATAATTTTCAAATTAATATAAAATAATTATAATACAAACATAACTAATATACAGTATTATTAATTACATATATAATTGTATATAATTACATTAATAATTATCTACTTAAAAACTCGATATAAATAATAATAAATATACAAGATAATTTTTTATTGAAATTATATATATATATATATATAATAAAAATAATTCAATATACCTTCAACAGTGATAGCCAACTGGGTGATGCATACCATTGCTACCAATAGTAATAAAGTTGCTAGTTGAATTTTATTCATTGTTGATTAATGTAAAATTAATAATTTCAATTATTAATAGTTTTATTTAAAAAAAAAGTTATTTTTTCAAATAATATTCAATTAATTAAACAAATTATTCCTTATATACTCTTTTAGAATCTTATTTTGATAACAAAAGTAAATATTTTATTAACAAACAAACAAATAATAATAATAATTAATTAATTAGTTTCAATTGATAATTAGATTTTTTATCAAGATAATTTATACTATTACATATATAATATGCAATATATTTTTTTTAATACTATAGATAAGTTAACAAGCTAAAAATATTGAATCCTGTTCCATTTTTGTTTTTTTTATATTATAATTAAATAACTTATTATTTTTATATAATATAATAAAGTAATACTTAATTTGATAATTTGCTCTAAAATTAATATATTATTTACTTTTTTCTTATATTTTTCCACTAAATATTATAAGTAAAATATATTTGAAATATTAAATAAATTTCTTAGTTAATCTGTTATCAAATAATAATAAGTTATTTATTTGAAAATACATTTTTCATAAATATGAAATTGATTATTTAAATCAATAATAAATAAAAATAAAAAAAAAATCATAATTATATATAACAAATTATGTAATTAATATTTGAGTAAATAAAAAATTTTTTATATAATATTTAATAATATTTATACAAAATAACATCTAATTAATTAATTAATACTTTTCTTTCTTATATTTTTTTACAAAATATAATAATTAATATATATATATATGAAAATATAATTAAATATTATATAAATTTATCTTATAATTAATTAATAGTAAAATATTTAAAATACTACAATATTATATTGTAAAAAAATTTAATTAATATAAAATAATTTTTCAAAATGATTTTTAATTAAAAGTAGCTTAGTTAAATATTTTCTAGTATTATAATAAATTTTTGTTTTATTTTTATATTTAATTATTATAATTAACAACTGCAACAAAAATGAATCAATAATTTTGAATTACAGGTAATTATATGATAGTATAAATGAAATGCTATTTAATTATAAAAATATCCCATTATTTACTCTATATATCATTTTATAAGAAAACAAACAAGATAAATTATTATATATTGTATATTTATATTAATTTATATTAAATTTTAAAAAAGTAAATTAGCAGTATATAAGATATAGTATATAGAAATTTCATTTTTTTTAAATATTAATTTATTAATCTTATTTATACAAACAAATATTGTTGGAAAAAAAATTAAACGTAAAAACTAATAAATTAGTATCATTTTTAAGTAAATAGTAGGAGGTATATGATTTGAGGTTTTAATGAGACTTTAACATGGGAAATAATGGTACGCCTCCAGGAGGCTTTGATTGGTTAATACAACGTAGTTGCTATGGTAACCAATTACGCAATACCAATAACACAATACCTATGAGTCATATCTCATGACGCAATACCTATGACTCATATCTCATGACGCAATACATATGACTCATTACTCGTGATGTAATACATATGACTCATATCTAATAACGCAATACCTATGACTCATCAATTGCTCCTCGTCACACCCGTGGGGTGCCACGTTATAAATAGTTGTTTAATTAAATTTTAGTTCTTTACTCAATAATTTTTCAATCTTGTCAGTATTTTTGCCTATACCATACAATAAATAAAGCGATGTTAATCCAAGTATGGCAAATAAAAACATATCTAGATATGATTTATACTCAATTTTATCCCAATTTATTTCCATTTTATTATAAATATCTTTTATAATACTACTATTATTAACGTCTACGACTTCTGATACGCCTTTTTCTTTTACAACGTCTTTTTCTATATTTACGTCTTCTTCCTTTTCCAGTTTGTTTTTTTACAACAATTGGCGAAACATTAGCCAATTGATTAACAAATTCTTTATTAATATTTTCTAGACTTTCTTTATTTTTAAGTTTTTTATATTTTCGCCTTTTTCTTATTTGTCTTAGATAATCAACAGTTTTACGTATTCTATCCATTTTTTTAATTGTGAGAAACTAACTTACTATTATTTATTTTTATGAGTCTCTCTGATCTTCTTAAATGCCTTTCTGATCTTTTTATTTTAATTTTCTTTTTCTTTTTGCATTTATTTTTATAAATTAAACAAATCGCATGTAAACAACATTTTTTAATTATTTCCATTTTAACTCTTGTTTGGTTATATATTTTCTAATATTATTTCTATGTCGTTTTTTGAATACATAAGAAATTAGTGAATCAATTAATTTTATTTTGCTTTCAAATATATTTCTATTAAACACAATCCAATGCCAGTTGCTAATTCTAGCATCACGTGATTCATCATGCCAATCATTTAAATAAAAAATTTTAATAATATTACTGAAAGTTACTTTTTTCTTCATTTTATTATAGATTCAGCAATTTGATCGTTAGTTATACTATTATTTGAAAAAATATTTAAAAAATCATTAAAACTGAAATTATTACATCTAAGCTTAATAAATAAAATACAATAAGCTCCGCAWCTACTAGAAAATAATGATTGTAATTGATACTTGTTATATTTAAAGTTTAAAATGTTGTTTAATTTTAAGAATTTTTCAATTTCACAACATTCTGGCTGTCCGCCAAAACTATCAAAATATTCAGCAACATTATGATTAATAAATAATGCTGTCCAATGAGTTCCAGGCTTATTTGACGGATCTGTGTTTAATATAAAAGCAATTGGTCTTTCATTATATATTTTTAACGGAAGTAAATTTTTAGCAAATGTTCCTTTAAAACATTTCATATTACTCATTTGTTTATTTATTTCTAGTGTATTCATTAATTACTATAATCAACGATCACTTGTCTTGTAGCATCTATTTCTATCATATTATCATACTCGCTATAAACAATTACGTTTATTGATTTTGGTAATGCTTCTGAAAATTTTAAATGTAATCGAACTGATCCATATCTTTGTGGATTTATATAGCCAGTTTTATTTACATCATCAGTTTGATCTGGGGCAAATGTAAATGCGAAAATTGTATTATTATTTCCGTATTCATCATAACTTAGCATAAATGACGGGTCAGTATGTAATTGATTTAAAGTATCGTACAACCCCAAAAATTCTCTCGCGTATAATTTTTGTTTAAAATCTGGTGTGTATGCGACTGTTGGATATTGTTCGCCATCAACACTTGCGGTGATGTAATTTAAATTAAAATTTTCAAATTTATAAGGATAAGTTTTTAAGCTACCAGTAAAAGATTCATGATCAACTAATGCTACAAATATTCTTCTAGGTATCTGACCGGTTATTGCATTATCTATAATACAATCATATAATCCTTGATTAATTGAAAATGATTTTACATTGCCTCTCATTATAGGATATTTAGCGGTATTAGGTTGTCTATTATTATGCGTCCCCAAAACTAAATTGTGGGCTTCAACGACTTGTGGATTGGTTTTACTTTTAGAGACATATAAGGCAATATCCTCAAAATCAACTGTAGCTGTTAAATTATCGTCTTTGTTGTATAGATAAAAATTTGGAGAATGTGGATATAATGTTAACATAAATCGGGTACCTCCTAGTAAATTTCTAGGCTGAAAGGCTAAATCTAAATGTAATTTGCCACACATAACAATACTTTTACCTTTACCATCTGATGTTACAGTATCTGGTTTTATCCAATTTGCAATAATATCTGTAATATTATCTTTAGCATTACTATCATCAAACCATCCTACACTATCTAGAAAACCTTTTTTAGCTACATCAGTGAAACCTAGTAATGTTTCAAAATACGCTTTATATGCATATGTTTGATAGGCTTCAACAATAGATTTTCCTTCTATTTCTAAATCAATATGTTTAAAAATTGAGTGCAATAAGTTATTAACTGGCTGTATTTTTTTCMACTCTGCAGCTGTAACATCTCCAACTGCTTTTTTATTAATATTTACTTTTAATTTAAAATAAATATAAGAATCCTTAAGACTAATATATTCATCTATAGCTGAATTAACTGCAAATTRAATTKGATTTACGGAATTAACTAAGGGAACAATAGGTCTATGCTCAGTAATAAATGTTTTGTCTATAGTTAACTGTATAGGAGGAACTGAAAATAAATCAAATTCCGGTAAAGTAGTAACATTAGTCATTATTAATATTTTCTACGTTTTTTATTTCTATTATTAACTTTCTTTTTTCGTCTACGTCCTCTGCCTCCTTGTAATTTAGTCTTTAATTCATCAAGGGTAGTATTGGCGGCACTTTTAGCTCCTGCTCTTAAATGTCTTAAGGCAGATTCCTTGACATTTTGTCCGGACACGACATCAGTAGCTAGGCCAACTGCATGGGGTAAAACAGATTTAGCAACACTTGGAGCTAATGATTTTAAAAAGTTAAATATTGGTCCAATTAGCCTACCAAAAAAACCATGACCTCTTTGATATCTAACTCCTTGGAAAGCTGCAAGACCTCTGCCTGCTTGATTTGAATATATTTGAATGTATGGATTAGTCATTTTTTTAATTATATGTTTACCCCCATCTATTATTATTTCCCCTTTTCCTTCTTGAGTTATATTTAAATTATTTTTGTGTTTTTTAAAAATATTTCTAACCCATTTAGTAAATGTAGATTTTTTATATACTTTAGATAAATGTTTATCTTTATTGTAAATTGCATCTTTATATCTATCTAATCTTTTAGGAGCTGCACTTCCAATTTGTAAATTCATTAATAACGTCTTCGATGTCGTCGTCGTTTATATTTTTTACCTCCACCACTTTGTTGATTTTTAATTTTAGTTATAGTTTCGTCTAATCTGTCTTTAATAGATTTATATCCAGTATACCCCAAGCCTGCTGCTAATAATAAAGGTAAAAAACCCCCTTTCTGTTTATTTTTTCGACGTCTTCTATTAGCCATTTAATTAAAACAAAATAATTTTTCTACTATTATTAATTTAGTAACATTTAATGTAATTATTAAATCAATAAAAAATTTATTTAATTTTTTTTTCTAAAGTGAAGAACAATTATTGTACGGCCAAATAAAAACGGAATTGTAGAACCAGTATCATCTTTAATATCTATTTCTATATTATTTATATTATTATATAAAACTGGAGAATACTGAATATTAGGATAAGTTATTACAATTTGTTCTCCAAAGTTAGCTTTCGTCGGAATTTCTACAAATCTTAACAATTGTGTTAATGAATCGCCAACATAATTAGGTTTAATTACATCACAATAAATAAATAAAGAATGAAAATTTGCATACAAATCAAATGGACCCATAGAATATATTTTAGAATCTGATCTTTTAAATTCAGGTTTGTAATTTTGATTATCCTCATAACTGTTTTGAAAACTATCTAGTTTATCTTCTATTAATTTTTCATAAGCTACTTGATCAAAGCCTAATATTCTATATAACTGTGGCGTTAATAATGGATATACATGAAAATCTTTATATTTAGATAATTCAATAAATGTTGTTTTATAATGATTTTCATAGCCGAATTTAGGTAATTCAATTGTACTTGTATTAACATCGTTATCAGATAATTCTTTGAGCTTTTTAAATAATATATCTTTCTGAGAAACTATTTGCGAACTTACAGGGACTTTTTCAATATTTGTTTTTATAACAGTATTTTCATCTTCCATTTTCTTTTTATGCTTTTTAACATTTTCTAACATTTGATAATTAAATCGATTTCCAAATTCATTAACACCTTTAATTACTTGTGTAACAAAATAGCTTCCGGCAAGTCCTGCAACTGCGTAATTGCTTTTAGTATTACTTGAAAATTTATCTTGATTTTCATAATAATATCTTATTCTTTTATTAATATTTTCATTAGCAGTATTTTGCGTTTCTTCAATAGAATGGTTTATTTGATTAATTAAACTTTCAATAGTTAAATATAAACCTGGTTTTATACTTGCATAATGTCTTACATGTTGTTCTCCTTTATAAAAATAAACAAAAGATATATATTGTTTCTCAGGAATATTCATCCAGCTCTTAGTATAACTAACACTAGATATGCCAACTTCCCAGTCATTATTTAATTGTATTGGAGAAATTAATTTTGTTTTATAATTTGCTAATGTATTATTAAATAAATGACTTTTAACATTTGATGGTAATGTTATATAAAAATTATCCATTTTATAGTTTTTAATAATCGTCTTCTTCTAATATTAATTCTTCTTCAATTTCATATATAACTTTTTTTGCTTTATCAACATCCCAAGGATGTCGGTCTTCATCAGTTTCTGTATCTTTAGGTTTATTGTTTGTTGTAGTATTTATTTCCGGCTCTTTTGATTCTGTGTCTCTGGATTCAGGCTCCCTGTTTTCTGGTATATTTACAGGTGGTAAATTCGGAATAGGTAAGAGAGGCTTTGGCAAAATTTCAACATCTGGATCAGATACTTTTACTTCCGGTTCCGGCTCAGTTGCAATTTTAATTATATTATTCACTTTTTTTAAATGTAGCACTACTTTAATCTGACCAGTATAAAATGGTATTAATTGTCCATCATACTTACTTTTAATTTGTATACTAATCTTATTAAATTCATTAAATTTAATAGGATAATAATAGATTCTATTATAAATTTGATGTATGGGTTTATATTTCAAACTATTGTCTACAAATACTTCTCTTAAAACATTTGTGTTATCACCATTTATATAATTTTTGTGACATATATTTGAACAAACGTAAAAAGATTCTAAATATTTATAAAATTCATTATCTATATCTTTGCCTACTAATTTAGGTACCTCTATCATTAATACTGCCGATACCATACTATCATTATATTTCTTAAAATTATTGTAAGCATACTTAAGAAGTCGCTCTCTAGAAAACCCTAATAGTTGACCTAGTAATTTTGAAAACATTGGAATCAACACGCATTCATTGTTTAACCATCCGAAATTTAGTACTAGTTTATTTGATTCTACAGTTATATTTATATTTTTTGTATATTCTTTTTCGGGGATGCCTTTTACATACTTTTTACCGTTGAATTCTATTTCTAGTTCATTAAATGCTAAAATAGCTTTACTTCGAAGTTCTTGAGCTGTATAATTACCTGCTTTTATAATAATTTTATCTGAATGACCTAAATATTTACCTTTTTTTAAATCTTGGTATATAACTTCTACGTATTGATCATAAGGTAATGTAAACCAAGTCCGCTCATAGGTAATTTCTGCTAATCCTACTTCCCACTCATCTTGTAACTCAATAGTCTTATAAAGATCTTTTGTAAAATTATTAATTTTTTTACCTGATTGTAAAGTTATATAATATTGTGTTTCCATTTTTAATGTAAATTTAAGAATTAACCTACTATTATTAAATTATTTATTATAATTTTTGGATATCACTCTCATTTATCCATGAATTATAAGTGTTAGGATATCCTACCCATTTTATTAAGCATTGTTTTACCCCTTTATTTACTTTACGTTTAATTATTTTTTCAATTCTAAATAAATTTTCAGTTACGTTTTGCACTTGCTCTGGATATAATCGCATATTATCCACTTTATACATTGGTTTTCTCGGTTCGGGGCTTATTGCTTCAATTTTTGAAATTTTATCTGTCCAATTTGGATAATATGATTTATCAAACGGTTTTTTCTCATAAGCTGTTCTAACTGTATCTTCTATATTTAAGTTTTTTTTACTATTGTTAATCATATCATTTCTATTATTATATCCGTAAATTATTTTGAACAAATCATCACAACTAGATTTCGATGCTATTATAGGAGACATTTTTATTGTTTTATGAAAAGTATTATTATATTTATCTAATAAATTATTCAAAATATTATACCATATTCTATTTCCTTTTGCGGTAAAATATTTAAACATAATGCCTTTCAACGTACGATTAAATCTCTCAACGATAGCACATTTAATATCTTTATTTTTACTTGTAAAATGGTAAATTTTTTTGTTATTTAAAAAATTAAGAAATTCTTTATTAAGAAATTCTTTTCCTTGATCAGTCCTTAAATAAAAAGGGGTTCTTAAATTAATAATCTCTTTAAACGCTTTTGTTATTTCTTTACCTGTTTTATTTTTTAACGGCATTGCCCAGGCATATTTTGACAAACAATCAATAACAGTCAAAATATAATTATATCCTTTATTTACTTTTTTAAATTCTTGCATATCTATTAAATCAGCCTCCCATTGATAATCAACGCAGTCAACTATAATTGGGTTACGTATAAATCGTTTCCTAGAAGGTTTGTGTAAAGTATAAGTTATTTGACCACTTAACCATTTTTTAACCTCAGCTAATTTTATATTAGAAATTATATCTTTAGCCGCTTTATATAATTTTAAATCTGTAGAATAACTAGCAGGGTGACTTATATCATAATAAATACTTGTTAGAACTTTTTCTATATCCATTATTTATCAATAGAAATCCAATTCAATTTTTTTAGTTTTGTTTTAACAGGTGATATAGTTGTATATAACCCCTTAACTAATTTATCTTTTATAGTATTATTATATATTGAATTTTTATCTATATTAATTTTTTTTAAATGTTCAATAAACTTATTTTTATATGGTAGTTCTTTATCTATAAATAATGTCATAAGATAATCGGTGATGTTCTCAGATGTGTCTTTCATTATTAGTTTCTCATTATATATATTATTTTTAGCTAAATTTAGTATAATTTCCAATAAATTATTAATCTGATTTACAGGGACTAAAAATACTTTATCCATTAGAATTCTTATTTAAAAGATTATTTAAAATTGGCGCAACAACTGCAGCTAATGCTGGAATTAATATAGGTAAAAACCCACCAGATTGTTTAATTAATTTTTTCTTTGCTGCTTGTGATTTTGGTTTTTTAGCTAATTTTTTTAAAAGTGATTTAAATCTATTAATTTGCAATTGTTGTCTTTTATTTAATCTAATATTACCCTTATTATAGTTTAATGCTATTTCATGTAAAGCATTAAAAAGATCATTATCAGCTACAGATAACAGCAATTTGGATCTTAAATATGGGTTTTTTATTGTTGAAATAAATTTTAATTTATCGTAAGCTTTTTTTAAGGCCATTTTTAAAATTTTATTTATTTATTCTCTATTATTGTTTATCATATATCCTATTGGCCAAATTGATTCTTCTATGGTCAATTTTGAAATTAAACGTAAATATTCTGGTGTGTCGTTTGTTAGATCTACACGTAAATAACTATAAGCTTCATTAGTCGCATCATTATATGCATTAATAAAATAATTCATATTATTAGGATACATTTGTCTAGCTAATGTAGTAACTTGTGTTTTATCTCTAGTGTTTTTAAATAATAAAATATAATGTTGATTAATACTAATAGTTCTCATTGATTTTGCTTGATAAAAACAATTTTGCACAACAAAAAATACACTAAAATTTAAATGATGGGACATTTTTGTAAAAATGTCTTCAAATTTAGGTTCTTTATGGATTG